GTCGTCGACCTGCCCCGAAGCGATTACAGATTAATTTATTTTTTTTAATAAGTACCAGTTAAAAAAAAAAATAAGTGGACAATTTGCTTTCTATTATTCTTTTTATGAATGATGCATAAAGATTGAATATGAATTGAGGTTGGAGCTTTTGAATTATTGAGTAGGAATCAAGTTCGATGCATAAAGATCAAGGGACAATGATATTGTTTAGTATAGTTATGCTGATAATATTGTGTATTAAATTTGAATTTTGCATTTGGGTATTGGGAAATTGTTTTCATTTTCATTTGAAATATTATTTGCTAAATTGACTTAATATTGTTTTTTTTTTTTTTGTGTTATAAGAGAATATATCAATTGTGAATTGTGATATTAAAAATTAATTTGAGTATTGTGAAATGTAATTTTGTGATTTGTGAAAATGAAAATGAGAAATTGGGAATTTATAATTTGTGATAAATTGGTGCGGGGGATTGAACATTGAAACTTTAATTATATTTTAAAATTAATTTTAATTCTAATATAGATTGTGGAATTATTTTTTCAATCGATGTCTCAATCTAGTTTTTGTAGTAGTGCATCTAATCCTGTAACTATTTCTAATCGAGCAAACGATTTATTAAGCATTAATAACACAAAGAAGTCTCATATATCATTTATTTTATATTATTTCGAATTGTATTGTACTGTAATTTGATAAAAATATACGATTTTTACATTTTAGTGTATTTACATATAGATAGAATAATTTTTAATATTATTCAATTTTATATTAATAAATGACATCACTATACGGCCGTTGACTGTTGATGGTGATCAACAATAGTCAACGACGTTGACCATCAACTATCAAAAATTGTCCTAAGTGGGCCGAAGTCCTGGATTTTCCACTGTTCGTGGTTATTAACCGCTTGAATTGAGCCGAGCCGAATCGAACTGAATTGACTTGCGTGTTTATGTTGCGATTATGGTATGACAAAAAAATTGGTGATTCGATGATAGTTTTGACCGAATCGATCCTAAACTAAACCGTTGCCAACCCTACATAGATCTTGATTATTCATCTGACAAATTCTTGCGCCTCAATCAAATGCAACTTTTACGTACAATAGGCTCCAAAAGTGTTAGTAGGTTATGTACAATCATTGTTCATATCGAATATTATCTTTTGTTCAGCTTTCACCACGATGGAAGATCAAAATCTTGTAATTCATTTGGGTCCGTGCTGAAATAACTCATTACTCAAGAGGCATTTTTCTGCTTACACTAGCATGGGAAAGACCGTAACTACATGAGGAAGTCCCTACATTGAAATTTGAAAAATCCCATATTTTACATGGATAAACCATATTTTCTTTGGATTGCTCTCACATCTTCTTGCAGCATAATTTGACAAAAAAAAAAGATGCCTAATAGGGTTTTCAAAAGTCATTTTATTGTTAAATTCCTGTAAAATAGCTTTGGTGCCGGCTAAATTCCCTCGGGAATCCATAACCGCAGCTAGAGAGAATAAAATTGGAAAATCCTATTATGGTAATGCATTTGGATATAACAAACCCAATTAAGATCATTATAAGAAAATAAAAGAAAACAAGATTTACACGAAAGTTGAAAAATAAGACAGCTATAAAATTCCTCTTCCTGTTCGTTTTCTGGAATTTTTTGTAGAAATAAAGAGATATTGGAGATAAAACTGAAGATAAATTACAGTAAAATTGTTTGAAATCCAATGTAACAAGGCCTCATCTAAAATTTTGAGACAGGAAGTTATACATAGCACTGGTGACAGTGCGACTGAAATGCAATTCTAACACAATTTTCTATTCTTTTTTCACCCTCGTCTGTTATTTATGCTAACCTCTTCATTCTCAAGGATTGAAGGATGTTCGGCTTGCATTGGAAATGTCACCACTCATCGTCAAGGCTAGCACGGTGAAAACACAGAACAGTGCAGACAAATATAAAGAATGATGTAAATTCAAAGAACATAGCTCCAGTCCCAATCAAACCAGCATGACGCAGAATAATGGGAATGGCCATACTCCCTACAGCAGATGCCCCTGTTAAGAACTTAGCACCGTTGATCCATCTGCAACAAAACAAAGAGTTAAATTTCCCCAAAATGTAAATAAGAGCTTTCAGGGTGGAGACAAATGGAAACAGTGGCAACTTGTGGACGTGGTTGCAGCTAACAGACATGTAATATTTATTTGGAAAATCATAACAGGATAATATCTTAGTAAAATGTTTTCAGCTTTCCTTAAAAGTAGCTTATAAGTTCATTTTTCTATCCGGTCAAAGTCAAACGTTAATTTTAAACCATATTCATAATTACTATCCAGTTATTATCTCCACATTACGTAGAATCCCAATACTTTTCCTCCTTAAAATTTACTTATAAGCTTACCCAAACTAAGGAATAATGTCATTCAGGTCACTTCAGCACAAGTGACACATAACGCGGTTACTTGTCCTGGCAAGGCTTCAAAATATTGTACCCCATCACAAATTAGCATAAAAAAGCAAGTCAAATTGATCTTATGGGCTAAGTATGCATCCTAATTTTCATGTGTTCTGATGTCATCCGGCTGTACATGGATTGCTTCAGCACTTGCAACAACAGAAAAAAGCACACCAGATTTATAAACTTGTGTATAACATTCTGATTAGCGTGAGAGCACAAGTTAATTAGCAGCAGTATCTTAATTTCACTCAAACAAAGCCTTATCCCAAGTGCATTATTTAGGACTAGCGCAGAAAAAAGTTCTTTTCAACTTTCATCGTGCATTTTGTTTAATCCTTTAGTAAAAATACAAGCTAGTACTGTAGTTACAAACATTGTACAATTGGTCCCATCATTTACATTCAGTCACATTTTTGACCTACGAAATGACATTTTCACAACACCATGCACTGGTTGATCATCAAACCTGTTGAATTTAAGAGAGAAAATAAGACAATACAAAGAGAAAAGAATTGTATTGAATAGTGTGATTTGTTTATAAGAGAGGTATCCTATTTATAGCCTAATTTGAGAGGACTGTTTTCCTTTCTAACCAATGTGAGACTAACTAACATTTACATTGTATATATATTAACAGCCCCCCTCAAACTCAAGGTGGTAAAATGGAGACCAACTTGAGTTTGGAAACTAAATCCTCAAGGCGTCCAGGAGGGTGCGTTTTAGTGAAGATATCAGCAGTTTGATCGGCTGAAGAAACTGATAATAGTCCAATAGTCCCACGGATGAGATGATGACGTATAAAGTGACAATCAATTTCAATATGTTTTGTGCGTTCATGGAATACATCATTGTGAGCAATTTGGATAGCACTTTGATTATCGCAGTTTATGCTAGTGGCAGTAGAATGGGTGACGCCCATGTCTTCAAGTAACCAGCGAAGCCAAAGAAGTTCCTGAGTTGTATCAGCAAGGGTTCGATACTCAGCTTCTGTACTGGATCGAGCGACTACTGTTTGTTTCTTGCTGCGCCAAGAAATAAGAGAATCACCAAGGAAGAAGCAATACCCAGTGGTAGATCTACGATCAGTGGGGCTACCTGTCCAATCTGCATCTGAGTAGGCACGAAACTCGAGTGAAGAGTGAGATGAGAAGTGGAGACCATGAAATAGGGTCCCTTTGACGTACCTGAGAATGCGAAGCACTGCAGCATGATGGGATGTGCGAGGAGCAGAGAGAAATTGACTGAAAATATGGACAGCATAGGGCGAGTAACTGTAAGATAAACAAGACTACCAACCAACTGGCGAAACAAGGTGGGGTCATCCAAAGGTGTACCATCCATGGGACTGAGTTTAGAGTTGAGCTCTAGAGGAGTGGTACATGTCTTACTATCTGTGAGTCCCGCTCGAGTAAGAAGATCAGAAGCATACTTTGCTTGCGAAAGATAATATCCCTTAGAGTTAGAAGTGATCTCAAGTCCCAAAAAGTAACTAAGCTTTCCAAGATCTTTCATTTCGACATGTTGGTTGAGATAAGTCTTGAGATCCAAAATTCCGAATGTGTCATCACCAGTGATGATCATATCATCAACATGGAGGAGAAGAAGGATAGTACCCTGGTCTGTTTTGCGAATGAAAAGAGCAGAATCATGTGAGCTGGAAGTGAACCCAAAATCTCCAACAATGGTGCTGAACTTGGCAAACCAAGCTCGAGGAGCTTGCTTGAGACCATAAAAAGCCCGACGAAGTTTGCAAACTTGATGCGGAAGATGATGAGAACCAAGAGGAGGGCACATATAAACTTCTTCAGTAAGTTCACCATTAAAAAAATCATTTTTCACATCCATCTGAAATAATTCTCAATGACGGACGGCGGCAACTGCAATTAAGCTGCGAACTGAAGTGAGGCGGGCATCCGGGACAAAGGTCTCCTCATAGTCAATCCCATACTCCTGGGTAAACGCTTTAGCTACCAAGCGAGCTTTGTATCGATCAATGGACCCAACAAAGTGAGTTTTGATCTTGTAAACCCACTTGCATCCCATGGCATGTTTGCCTTTTGGTAGGTCCACTAGATCCCAAGTGTGAGTGTTTTCGAGTGCCTGTAGTTCATCATTCATTGCTTTCTGCCAAAGAGGATCAGAACTAGCTTCACGATAAGACTGAGATTCATGGTGAGAAAGAATAGTAGAAAATACAACAAAGTCACGAAGATTAACAGAAGGAGTTTTTACCCGGTCACTTCGTCGAGTAGGGAGATCAGAAGTCGTTGGAGCAGATCCATTAGAAGAGACAAGTTCCTCAAAAGAGGGCAAGGTGGATAACTCAATTGAGGTATCTGTAGACATGTTAGTTGGTAATGACATATCTGAGAAAGAGATAGGATATGTTGGTGGAGATGTTGACTCAGAAGAAGATGTCTCAGGAGTGTCAGGAAAAAGATCTATGGAGAGGTCAGTGAATAGGAGAGGTATTGTCATGTGACAGGTGAAACTTGGATATGGAGGCGAACATCTTGTGTTCCCAGAAAACGACATAACGAGATACTCGGAAACGTTTGGAGTAAGGATCCCAACATCTGTAAACTCTGGTTCTGAGGAAGCAAGTTGATCCTAAACATAGTGCATCTCAGATAAGAAATTATTAATGGATTGTCCAGGCTATTGTTGCATACGATGTAGAGTGCCTAGAAGTTGGTATTGATGAGACAGATCTGTGGTGGTGTAGCGTTTCTGTAAAAAATCTCATAGTGACTTGGCAGTCTTGAATCTACCAAACCGGAGACTGATGGAGCGTACGCATGTGTTGCGAATCCAAGTGATAATTTGGTGATTTTTGCTATCCCATTCTTCGAGACGATCTATGTATTTTGTGTTGTCTTCTCCAGCGATTTTCTCTGGTTCGGTGATATTACCAGTAACATAGCGCCAGAGCTTTCTGCCCTTAAGAAAGCTTGACATAGCCTGAGCCCATATAGTGTAGTTGAGTCCTTCCATGACAATGAGAATAGGTTGTAAGGCCTCAAGATGCTCCATAATGTGCACGAAATTAGAAGGAGATAGAGATAAAAATAACAAGAATCGAACTAAACTGATCAGGAAATGACTGATAGAGTGGTGGCTGAGATGATGTCGATGGAGAATAAGACTACGACTATAGCAATGACCTAACAGATATGAAAAGGATATACAAGAGGTTTTTCTGATGTGAAGGATCCACTAATAGTGGCAATAACAGAACATACTCAACTCTTGATATATCGAGAACACTAAGAATAGTAGCTCTGATACTAAGTTGAATTTAAGAGAGAAAATAAGGCAATACAAAGAGAAGAGAATTGTATTGAATAGTATGATTTGTTTACAAGAGAGATATACTATTTATAGCCTAATTTGAGAGGAATGTTTTCCTTTCTAACCAATGTGGGACTAACTAACATTACATTGTATATACATTAACAAAACCTTCGTAATAGAGACTGAAGTTACCAAAATACCCCCATTCTCACACAAAATTTGGAAAGATCATAAAGGAAAAAATTGAAATACATAAAGATATGCAAGCAGAAAGAGGAAAGAAATTCTTAAACCAGCCTGCCATTTCAGCTAGCAGCCCCTCCCCCCAGCCATCAAACCTACCTCCATTTTTGAAACCTGCTCCTCACCACAACCCTTCTCCATACCCGCCAAGTTTACTAGTGAGGGAAACCAAAAAATAAAAAAAAAATAATAATAATAATAATAATAAAATAAAATAACCAAGAGAGAGAGAGAGAGCTCCATAGCCACCAATATTTTTCCCAAATCACTACCACCACAACCAACACGAGCACTTTACTTCTCAACCATAATATGCGTGGGATAAGGGAAGGGAGACATGAATCCTCCCTCACTCTACCATTCAATAGACACTACCAACCCCCAAATCCTTGTGATCACCACTGCCTGCAACCCCAAGGTCCACTTCCAACTAGAGGTGTAAAATGGGGCCTTGAAGAGGCAGCATTGGCCTTATAAAAATAAAAATAAATTAAAAATGGAACCTAGCATTGCCCAGGTTTCTAGAAGGGCCAGCCAATTCATGCCGGCTGATGGTACAATTTAACCTTTTTTGGGATGGCTGGAAGGGGAAGATGGAGGTTATGGGGAAGGTGGGTCTTGACAGATTGACATAAACCTTCTTCGTTTCTTTAGTTCTTCTCCCTTTTCTTTTCTTTCTTCTTTTAGACCATCAATTTGGAATTGACTGCAAGATTATATAATTTATCTAAAGTTTTTCTCTCCACTACAACTAGAGAACATCAGCCAAATGATATTATAACACACTTACATCTTCTTTAACACTTTTAATCAGCCTCTAGATCAGTCTACAAACAACTAAGTTCATAGGCATGCAATGGGGGACTTGAAATAAAACATAGATCAGTCATGAGAACTGTAATTAATGCGTCAAAATATTATGTTGACAAAAAGAACATGATGTCAAACGTACCAAGAAGATAATTCTAATGGAAAATTTCAAGATGTAATCTTGAACAATATCACTGAATACCAAAAAGGTAAGGAAGTTTATTTAAATTCCTGAAATGCCTGAGTAAAGGAATACTCACCCCCCACCATCTCGATTGACTAGAAAATGAGTTGACCCTCCGCCAAAGAATAAACAAGGCATTGGCACTAGAACATACATAAGAGCTGCGAGAACAACATTTTTGTTAGTGAGGTCAGACATTGACAGATTCAATAATCAATCTTTCTAATGCAATCTCATTTAAATATACATAGACATTCACAAAAACCTGATAACATCGGCCACCAGTTGTTGTATATGGCACAAGCCTGCAATCAATAATTATAACAGAACAAAAGTGCACCACCAGAACAAGTATGCAATAATGTGCCCATAAGAATAAAAAACGAAAATCCAGACATATTTGCTTCAGAAAAACAAGAGAAAAGAAATGCTTTGGAAAGTAAACACCCTTGACATGTAAAGGATCAATATAATTTTTATAAACCACTAAAACATCATTCAGGCTTTTTGTTCTTAGCAATGACCGTTGGGATATTATTAGTTGTGAGCCAAAATTTATTAGATCTTCCGATGATAAAAGAATGTTAACAACCATATGCTCCTGTTCACTACATGTCAAAATGTTATTGAGCAACTAAAAATAAACTTAGAAAATATGATACTCAAGCTAGATTTAATCCATCTCATCTAAGGTTCAAGGCATCAGTTCCTTGATAGCAAATTACTTAACTCCAATTTTCAAATTCAGTAGCCTCTAGATACAAGACCTATATCTTCTAGAGGAGGTCTTAACAATAAACCAAATGCACATCCTACCAAACTGTGATCCAAAAATTTTGAATTAATAGAATGCAACAAAAGAAGATACATTAAGAGACCGATGTCTTTCTTCAGTTTGATTGGTTTCTGTCTATACATTGTGCAAGAGTTAGTATACAAGATATATAGCCAGAACTAGAACCAGGATTCTAGCATTAAGATGCTAGCATATTCCCAACTCAATTAGAAGTTCTGAATGATGACAGCACAAATAATTGCTGTTTGAACCAAGTTCCTCTACTAAAATCTTCAAGAGAGTAGCCTCAAGAACAGCTAAAAATTCTGAAAATCTACTTCAAAAATGTGAGATAGATGCTATTAACGGTAACAAGATATACAGGCATAAACCTATCAGAATTTGAAGCAGTATGCTAGATGAGAACATGAAAGCCAGCCCTGCAAGACTGATCGTTTAATGTTACGTTAGAATATTTTGTTAGTCAACAACAAAAGATTAAGGGCCTGTTTGAGTCCCATTTTCTTTTGAGAATGCATTTTGAAATAGTTGATTAATGGAGAATGTGTGGTTAAAAAATAAAAAAATTTTGGATTTACATGTGATATTAGTTTATTGAAGAATGTGTGGTTGAAAAGAATAGAGAAAAATGTATTTTGAAAATAATAGGAATCAAACAAGGGTTAAATTCGTAAATTCATATTTCTACTTACACTGTATTTGAAGACCAGAACATCATTCGTCTGTTAGAAAATAATGGAATATTGACCAGAAAAGGAAGCCAAAAAAAAAAAAAAAAGAGTTAAATTCAAAATTACTTGCACTCTGTTCAGAAAGATATATACTATGAGGCCAAATTTGGCAGCAGAAAGCAAACCATAATATCAAAATTGCATAAAGCAAAGCAAAGTTTAAAAGAAGACTATGACATAAAGATAGTGAGTTGGCCATCAAGATCTCTTCCAAATTTTGTGGTCACGAATGTTCTTCAGGTAAGACCAACTGCTTCCCAAATACTGAACATAGCTAAAGCAAATTGGTATGCCTTAATAGATGATGGCATGTTTGCTTGTATAAAAATGATGAGATGATCTCCCTCCGAAGGATATAAAATATGTAGTCTACAGTTGCAGCTTCTAAATACTTAAGAAACTCAAAAATACAAATATCCATTGCCCAGCAAATCTTGGGTGCTGGTTTACACCTATAAGATGTTCGTCATAAAATATTTTTCAACTTTTGTTCTGAACACGATGCAAGATAAAATCTACAACACGACACAACTTTGAGACGAACTTCTTCTATTCTTCCATCCCGATTCACTAGTTTTCTTCGTGTGAATATCAAACCATCATTCAAAAATAAAATAAAAACTACTTTAGCACCATCAACGTGAATGCCTACCATTGAACACACAAAATTTCTTATTAAATATCATAAATTAAACAAAGCCTACGTTGTGTTTGGCAGCACGATATTGGGGCCTCGGAGTTGCAGTTTGTGGAAGACTGTTCAAGTCTTAATTGGAAACACCAATTCTGGGACATTACAAGCTGCCAAACACAAGCAGAGAAAACTGACTGCAAAGCCTCAAAAGAGAAGACGTTAAGGCGACCGCTAAAATTGTCTTCACTGTAAAGCTTTGATCTTGAGACTAATTCAATTAAAACACTATAGTACCGCAACAGTGTCAAGGATAGTGAAAATTTAAAACAAAAGGTTACAACCAAAGCTACCTTTAGTTACAAAAGTTGACCTAGTTGCTTCCTTATAGAATAATTACGAATAAATAAATTGAACGAGGAAAAAGGAGACAGAGAAAATGAACCTTCAATGGTCATTGCCATGTCTGCAAACTGAATGGACTATTGATTTTTAGAAGTCGATGCTCAAATTCCTAATGGATTTACTTCAAATTGGGAGGAGTAGGGGTGGATGAAAGAGGACAGAGCAGCAGACTCACAACTGGAGGTTTGTTTCTTCACCATTTTCAGAGCAAAATTAATTTCTCTCTCCTTTGAGTAAATAAATGAAAATGGCCATTAGACCTTGACTGATTTATAAAAAAAAAAAAAACGAAAACACAATTTAAATACACTTTTTTTAAAATATCCCTCTATCTTCCTCTCTCTCTTAACGGTTTGGAGACAAGAAATCAGATTCATTGACATTCGATCGTCTAGACATCTCCCTCACCAAAGAACTTTCGATTGCCGACTGTTAACAGTTGTAAATGTTAGTTTTTGTGTAATTATAATTAGATTATTGGGTTTTGTTGAGTTTTAGTTAGACTGTTGATTGGAATATTATTTTTGTGGTATGAAATGCATAATATAGGCTAGATTTGCGTATAGATGAAATTTATTGATCAATTTTGATTGTTTGCAGAGCTCCAACTCGTCGGAAATGATGGATTCCAACGAGAGGAGACTAAAATGTTTCAGCCGGTTGTTAATAGCCCCGTTCTAGAACCGACTGTTTAACAACCGATATATATATATATATATATTTTTTGTAATTATAAATTTCCTAAATTAATTTAAATCATTAAATGTTTGGAATTTTTAACTACATATTTTTTTAATCAAATTTAAAGAAATTTGTTATTCTAAAATTATTTTTTTATTTCTAATTTTAACTCTTTATTTGAAATTGAATTTTAATTTTTATTTTAAATTTTCATTTTAATTTTAAGAAATTTGTTATTTTAGAATTAATTTTCAAATTAATTTTTTAATCCGAATTTTAACTTTTTATTTTTAATTTAATTTTAATTTTTTATTTTATTTTAAATTTAAATTTTCATTTTAGTTATAATTTTAATTTAAAGAAATATGTTATTTTTAAATTAATTTTGAAATTACTTTTTTTAATTCTAATTTCAACTTTTTATGTTAAATATAATTGTAATTGTAATTTTATTTTAAATTATAATTTTAATGTAAAGAAATTTTTTATTTTAAAATTAATTTAAAATTAAATTTTTAATTCTAATTTAAAATTTTTAATTTTATTTTTTAATTTTATTATATTTTAAATTTAAATTTTCATTTTAGTTATAATTTTCATTTAAAGAAATTTGTGATTTTAAAATTAATTTTGAAATTACTTTTTTAATTCTAATTTCAACTTTTTATGTAATTGTAATTGTAATTTTATTCTAAATTTAAATTTAAATTTTCATTTTATATAATTTTAATTTGAAGAAATTTGTTATTTTAAAATTACTTTTTTAATTATAATTGTAATTGTAATTGTATTTTAAATTTAAATTTTCATTATAATTTTAATTTTAATTGAAAGAAATTTGTTGTTTTAAAATTAATTTTCAAATTACTTTTTTAATTATAATTTTAACTTTTTTATTTTAAGTTTAATTGTAATTGTAATTTTAATTTTAATTTTTATGGTAATTATTAATTTTCATTAATACGATTAAAAATTCATGAATTTGGGTCTTGCATATAGTAATTACGATCCGGTTCGCTTAATTTTAGGTTATTATGCGTCGTTCCATTATTTCATGTACAATGTTCTAATACTTTGTTTCAATTTTTTTCATTTGGATGCAGAGTTGAGACAGATGTGAAGTAAAGTTACGTGGAATAGTAACTTTGACAGCTTCACCCAGGTCCTGGAGCTATTGGACGACCAGTATGTAGATATGCCGCGTCAATCCTTTCTGTGGCTTCTATACCCTATAGAGAGTTGCAGTATTCGGGTCAGATGATTGATGCTCTTTTATGTCGGTTGATGAGTCCAGTTGACGGGATGCCCTCCACTTCTCAAGGGGAAAGTCGTAAGCTTTTCCATGTGTCGAGTTTGCCCTACTGACTGGATTGAAGATTACGGACGATGGGGCAACTAGTGGCAGGACTCAGAGAGGAAATAAGCTACAGGACACTTATTTCCAGGGACATGGGGCGGTGGTTTTGCCTCAGGTGACGGATGCGATTAGGAGATGTGACGAGATGTTGGACAGACTGAAGTTAGGTATGGTTTACACCATTGAGAGCGTGATGCGATGTCACCACAAGAAGACTGCGATCGATCTTTTCCACATCGAGATCGTCGACAACATAGATCACTTCAATAGTTATCCATGGGGGCCGCCGATGTTTCAAGAACACCCCCCACATCTTCACCAGACCGTACTCAAAACCCAAGGGGCCCGTGTGTAAGTACGACACGTACGGATTCCCCTTGTTGCTGCAAGTAAATGATTAACGCAATCAATGTTAAAATATTTTTCTATTGAATTTGAATGTACTAATTTATGTGTTGCAAGTCTGGGCGTAGGAAATCATCCCCATATTGGGCACTCGCTTTGCGCGCGAGAGGAGACACGCTGTCCTCGGATGCACAATTGATGAGCATCTCAAGCGGAGGGATGTCCCACTAGGAAACAATTATCGACTCTTCTCGATGACCCTCATGTGAGTATTATAAATTTGTGATTTATATTGTACATAGTTTAATATCTCATTACATGATTTTATCATTTTAAAATGTCAATATGTCAACTTGAAGTAATAACTCATTTGACTTCGTCGATGGAGGAGGAGGCGCAGGGTCTCGTGCGTGAAGTAGTAGTTCCGCACGCCCAAGACGATCAGATGTCCGATTCAATCCCCGATCGAGACTAGGTAAGTGAATTATTGATTAGTATTTTTTATGAGTTAGCAATTATTGAATAAGTTAATAATATGTAAGTTTGTGCAGGACTGCAAGCCAGTTGATCGGGCATCACCTCCATCGCCGGCGTCACTTCCTCCCCCTCAGGGTGATTAATCTGATGATCTGTACCATCACCTGACTAGATTTATGGTGCAGGAGGTCGGCGCGCTACGTCGAGAGCTGGCAGGAGTTATGTCAGGGGAGGTTGGCGCGTTGCGTCGAGAGCTGATAGGAGTTATATCAAAGGAAGTTGGCGCGCTGCATCGAGATATGGTGGAGCGGGTCGACGATCTAGGATGTCAGTTGGTAGGAAGGGTCGAAGATATAGCTGATGATGTTAGAGTGCTGCGCGGGCATTCAGGATGAGGTGATAGCACTTCGAGGTGATATAGCAGGCAAACGATGGGGTGACGAAGGTGACGACCGGGGGGATGATCGAGAGGATAGAGTTGGGGGTTACCCACAATCGAGGTCGGAGGATGCACGAGACTCTTTTCTTCAGTCCATGGAGGATAGGATGGCTCCGAGGGCGGAGGAGGGGATGGCCCCAAGGTCGGAGGAGGAGGTGGCCCCGTTGGGGACGGGAGCAACGGTCGAGGAGGTGGTGCCAACGATGTCGAATGAGGGGGTCGAGGAGGTGGTGTTAACGCGGGTGGATGAGGTGGTGGGCCCCTCGGGGATGGGAGTTATGGTCAAGGAGGTGGTGACGACGAGGATGGAGGAGGAGGAGGAGGAGGAGGTGGCGATCGTTGGGGTGGAGGAGGGGACGATGCCCGAGGTGGGCAAGGAGAGGACATTGTCTTTCCTTTCATGGCTGAGACAAAGAGGAGGAGGTTCGTTGATGTGACGATCCCCAACCTATTTCAGGAGTTGGACCATGTCAAGTGGAAAGCGTTCGAGGCGAAGTGGAGAAGAATGTTGCCCGGATTATTATTCATGATATTAGTACCTACCAGTGATCGTTACTCGTCTACGCTTTTTTAACATTTCTTTGTTTCTTTTGTCAGGACCAGCCGTACGATTGGTAGTGTGACGATCTTCAATACTTATAAGTGGTTTCACAATATCACCACTTCAAGAGCTTGACTTGCCAACGATGTAAGTGAAGTAGTCATACTGTTAATTTTTATGACTTGTATATCATTGATTGTTTATGCAATAAAATAACTCCCTTTTGTATTGCTATTTTTTAATGCAGCACATCGACCTGGCCATAGACTTGTTGCGTGATCGAGTTCAAACATATCTAGGCTCATTTGACAGTCATGGCCGAGTCATACTGAATTTGGAGTTCGGACGAAGCGTTGACATTGAGTACCAATCGCTCCAACATGCCGACAAGGAATACGCGGTGCCCGACTACATGCTCAAGTGGACAATAGGGATGTAGCCACGTGTCAGGGGAAGTCATGAGAAGGTTGTACACATATGTACATACCAGTGAACGTGAATCATCACTGCATAGCATTGGAGATTGTGTTCACTGAGTCTACTATATATGTGTATGACCCCGATTATTTATATTTGACACAAGGTCAGCTCAAACAAAATCTGGAGTCCATTGTTGTTTTTGTCCCTATGATGGCTAGACATGCGGCATTGACTGTGAAGAACAGATTAGCCGTCGTGCAGGACACGACCACGACGAAGCAGACAATATCGTAAGTGATTCTAAAAATTTTAAAATTTAATACTTAATTTTTTTTTCCACGGTACTGATGGAACTCATTGTTCATTTGCAGCCATTTTTGAAATAAAGTATATCGAATTTCTGAGTATAGCACATAAGGTTGATGGAATCAACCAATCCTGAATACAGAGTTGGAGGAATAAGTTGGCGTGCGACTTATTCTACTTTAATGGTGATCCGTAGATTTATTGTAATTATTAGTTGTAATTTTTTGTAATTACGAAATAATTGTAAATACTGTAAATATTGATTTGTTGTACTTATGAAATGTTTGTAATACACTGTAACGGATTATAAAATGATTATTAGCTACGACGACCTTTAAAATATCATAGAATAAACACAAACACTGTTTAATTCAGATGGACAACATTACCAAATGATCTAACTATCATTTAGAGGAAC